TAACAAATTTGTGTATATGTTACAATTGGTACAAAACAATTAAGTTTCAATATATTTAGTATCATTTAACATGTTGAATCTTGTAACATTGCTTTAAATAAAAAAAATCAACAAATTTTTATATAAAGTTAAAATCACACCTAATGGTAATATCTTATTGTGTATCAGATACAAAATATCCAACTAATTATTATTTATATGATACACATTTTAGTATCAAATAACAAATTTGTGTATATGTTACAATTGGTACAAAACAATTAAGTTTCAATATATTTAGTATCATTTAACATGTTGAATCTTGTAACATTGCTTTAAATAAAAAAAATCAACAAATTTTTATATAAAGTTAAAATCACACCTAATGGAAAAATCTTATTGTGTATCAGATACAAATATCCAACTAATTATTATTTATATGATACACATTTTAGTATCAAATAACAAATTTGTGTATATGTTACAATTGGTACAAAACAATTAAGGTTCTATATATGTAGTATTCTTTAACAGGTTGAATATCGTAACATTGATTTAAATCATAAAAAACAACAAGATTTTATTATTAGATACAAAATATATTTTGATTGTTTGAATAAAACTTTTACTGTTTTTTCGAAGAACAGGGAGACGTTTCATAATTTGAAATTAAAAAATATAATTCAATTAGAGGATTATGAACGATTGATTGGTTGAAGGAAGAAACGTAAGCGTGATTTGTGGGAGTCAATTATAATTTCTGTTTTAATTATAATTTCTGTTTTTAATCCCTTATTTAACGCATTAAAATGATAACAACAATTTAATAATTTAAGTATCCGCTCGTTATTAATTAAAGTATCCGCGCTGCTATATTATGTATCCGAAAAACACTAAAAAAGAGATTTTTGGTAATTAATGAAAGAGTAGGGAAATGAAGTAATTTCTTTCTTATACTATGTCATTTGCCTAATTTTTACTAAAAAAACTCAACTTCTCAAAAACTCAACTTTTTACCAACTTTTCCTCAAACCAACTTTACAACCACAAAACATTGGGACTCGGGGTCAAACTACCGAAAGGGCAAAATAGTCATTTCCACGAAAAATCACTAAAATGACCTTTCGGGTCATTACATAGAACAATAAAGTACTAGTTTAATCATTTATCATCACCATCGCTTCCACCCTCCAAACTTGTTGATGTGCCTCCTGCATGAAAATTGTCACGTTGATCTACATCAGTCTCAGTTGTCGACTCAGAATTAGAAAGAAATGGCAGAGTCTTAGAAATTAGAGATTGTTGTTGAAGTTGTCTTTTTCTTTCATCAAGTTTAGCTCGTATACGAGAAGACGTTTTCAACAAACTTTTAATTTTCGTACCATCAAATTCATTTAAATTAACCTTTCCCTTGATAAATTGGTTGAATGTGAGTTCCATTTTCTTCTCCTCAAGTTCTTGCTCAAGTTTTCTAATCTCTTTTGCTAGATCCTCCAATGTATCAACCGTTGTTTCGTTTGGCCAAACTCTAGGAATGGTTCGTCTACTGGAAAAAAACCAACACCACAGCTATACCATACATGATAAACAACGCTTGTGCTTCGTTGGATAAACTAGCTAACTTTTCACTTAAACGTATGGCCATGTTTGGTTTTGAGAAGAACTAATTGTGAAAATAGAAGTGGGACATTGAAATGTATTTATAGAGACATAATGAGATTTATTAATACTATATAGTAAAAATTAAGTCAAGTAAATCTAGATAATTTGGTCCCATTTTGGTTATAAATCTATTAGAACAATTTGGTCTAGGAAAGGATTTTACATATTTTCTTAAAATACACCTAGTCAATATGTACATACCATAGTTAACTGCTTTAAATAAAGGGATAAAATTTTACATGCACAAGATATTTACGCCTAGTCAATATGTACATGCCATAGTTAATAAGTTAATTATATATTATTAAAATTGGAAAGCTCCAAAGTGTAAATTTGAATTATTAATACCATATATTAAAATTATGTGAAGTAAATCTGGATAATTTGGTCCATTTTTGTTAATAAATTTATTAGAACAATTTGGTCTAGGAAAGATTTTTACATAATTTCTTAAAATACACATAGTCAATAAATACATGCCATAGTTAACTGCTTTAAATAAAGGGGTAAAAATTTACCTGCACAAGATATTTACGCCTAGTCAATATTTACATGTCATAGTTAACCATATATATTATTAAAAGTGAGAAGCTCCAAAGTGCAAAATTGAATTATTAATACCATATAGTAAAATTATATCAAGTAAATCTAGATAATTTGGTCCGATTTTGGTTATAAATTGATTGGTTATATATGAAGTTGGAAGCTCCAAAGTGCAAAATTGAATTACTATTTTACCCCTACACTAAATCAAAATATTAAAAAAAATTATTTAAATATCCTATCATTAATTAAGAAAATCATCCTATCATTTTTTCCCCTTATCTTAAATTTGGAAAAATTAAAGTTTTACAATAATTAATCATGTATTGACAAACGGTGAATTAATTTTCTAGCCATTGCCACTTATTGCATCATATTCAACACTCTAGAATGACCATTCATCTTCTTATACTCCCTCTATTTCATATTAATTGAATTGTTAAGGTGTTTCACATACAAAATAAAATTTTGTATCTTTTTTTTAGCCCATCATTAAACTAGAAATTACAAATGAATATTTACACATAAGACTTCATAGTTTATGAGGTGTCTTTTAGACGCATTAACTTTAAACTTCAGAAGATCACCATCAATTTGGGCCAACCTTTTAATGTGCAAGTTCATAAAAAGTTCTAACAATCTCCCACTTGAACTACACATATATACGTATAAATAACTTTATAACCGTATGTCACCTTGTGAGCTCAAAATATGGAATATCATAATGTAAAGTACTTTAAAATGTAACAATCTCCTCGATTCATCATGTCAATATTGGACCAAAATGACTTTTGTTACATTTATAATAACTAAATGACATAATACATAAATATGACTCTTAACTTGGTTTGAGCGGATAACTATGCCCTCCAACTTTGAGTGTGCACAAGTAGACACTTAAACTTGTATAAAATTAAACAAGTAGACACACGTATCCTACATAGCATAATACATGTAG